CCAAAAGAGTGTACAGATGAGCTGATTGAAAAGCCTTTTAGAGCGGAGGTTCTCACTCAATGTCACTGGAATTTTGTTTCAACACAGATTCTGACTTAGTAGGTCGGGCGGGGCCTCACATTCTGCATTTCTGAGAAGCTTCCAGGTGATGGTGATGCTGTTTGGAAATTGAACATGTGTTGAGTTAAGAGAGTTTTAGAGGGTATGAAGAGATAAGGAATAACAATAAAAACAAGTGAGGTAGGGCCGGCCCGGTGGCGCACTGGAGAGTGCGCCGCTTGGGAGCGCGGCGGCCCTCCCACTGAGGGTTCGGATCCCATGTGGAGACCGGTTCCGCTCACTGGCTGAGCATGGTGCGGGTGCAACACCGAGGGTTGCAATCCCGTTACCGGTCAGTAAAAAAGAAAAAAACAAAACAAAACAAGTGAGGTATGTTTGCTTTTACTTGTAAGGATGGATCCTGCAGTCTGTACATCCTGTTACCTCATTTACTCTTGCTAATCTAAATCAACAACTAATTGCCCAGCTGGGTTGGCTCTTATTCCTGTACCCAGGGACAGTGAATCTTACCAGTGATCTGACTAGAAAGTTTCACCCTCCACCCCCGGGCAGTGAGTCTCCTCCGTGTCATGGGGAGCTATAGGTGCGCACCCACCTAATTGAGACTGTGATATGATTCCCCAAGGCCCCCAGCCACTGAGTAATAGGAAACCCGTCTTTGGCAGTGGGAGGTGTTCCTTTTGGCATTCTGCCTCCATCCAACTGGTTTGTGTAACAGTTGGGCTCCGGGAATGGCTTCTGAAGCAAGTCTGTGTCCTACAGTGTGTAATCAGGAACTGGCAGAAAATTTATCTTTAGCTTTTAAGATTCCCGTTAGAAATTCTCATAACGTGTAGCCTTGGCAGTTTAGTGACCTGCCCATGACCTGCTGAAAGATCCTGCTAGAGTGGAATGCAACTGTCTCTTTCTTCTGCTTGAGTGTTTCCCCTGGTAGTATTCTGTGGATCTTTTACTGGCTCCACCTATATACTCTTCTGTTCTGCAGATATTCTTGTAGACTGACCACAGGAAAGCATTTGATACAGACAATTTGTTCTTGAGTCTTAACATCCAGCACTAGAAAGAATTATTTCCATTGTCTTCCTAGGAGAACTTTCCTATGGAATTCCCCCTACAGATCAGATTACAACATTGACTTTTAGATTCATGAGGTCTGTCTCAATACAAACTGGGAAACCTTGATGATATCAGGCTGGTGAGGGGGAATTGTTAAATGGCCTGGCACAGTGGTTTTCAAACTTCAGCCTGTATCAGAATCACCTGCAGGGTTTGTTAAAATACTTATTGCTGGGCCCTGTACTCCTAGAGTTTCTAATTCAGGAGGTCTAGAGCAGAGCCTAGGAATTTGTAATGTCTCCAATTCCTTCCCGTGTCTTGTGGTACCAGGGCATAGCCCTGATAATCAGGGAGGTGGGCACGTGTTCACAATAGCACATGCATTACTCATTGTAATCACTATCATTACTTCACAATCCTCATAGATTTATTACTTAGTTTTTTCTTGTTTTTTAGCCACTAAGGCTCAAGTGTACAGCCAGTGCCCTTTGTGGTAAGCCAGCCCACTCCCTATAAGGCTTCTTGGTTTATACTAGGAGTACAGACCTGATCTTCTAGGATAAGGATATCTGGAAGTACAGGATGGGGGCAGCTGGGAAACTTGTTTCCCACGCATCTTCCTATCATTATAATAAGATTAAATTGGTATTAAAATTCAATTAAATTTTAAACTCAAAATGATTTTGGGTTTTTGACAACTGAGACAGGGAAAGGGAGGGGGAGGTTTGGCTGATCTGGCTCTTTCCATCCCTCTAAGTCCCATAGATGTACCTTGTTCACATCACAAGAATAAGATGGTTGATTTTGGTTTTGTTTTGCTAGCACTACTTGTTGTTAAAGGTGACTAATGCACACTTTCTATTGAAGCAGTTCTGGAGCATCTCTGGATAGACACAATGATCTGGATCTTGATCTTGGTGACCTTCCCTCTGATGAGGAGGAAGTTATCAACAGTTCTGATGAAGATGATGGCAGCTCCGAGTCTAGTAAAGGAGACCCTGACCCACTGGAAGATAAGCAGGTATGTTTTGGTATTTAGTGCTTTCTACTTTTTTGTTTGTTGACCTCTCACTATGCTTGGGAATAATATTTATCAGCATGATAGGCACAAAAACCCTAGTGAATTTTCTTAAAACTTATAAAACATTTTTCAAATGTAAATTTAATGCCCTGCTGTAATGTACCACCTAAGATGTTATCATGTTTCCAAGTACATATCACTTAGAGATTACTTAGTGGTTTTTGAGAAGTAATTTTTAGTAATAACTACTGTCTTCCTTTTTGATAATGAAAACCCCTGTTAGGATTATTTCTTGTATTGATACCAATTCTTCTTAGATTTCTTGAAAGAAAGGAATTATATGTTTTTCAGACTCAATCAACTCTTTTTAGGGGTAGAATAAAGATTGCTGTTAATAGTACATCATCATTTTTCTTTTAAATAACCCAGTGTGTGTGTATGTTTGGGGAAGCACAGCATACATGAAGATTGTCCATGTGTTGATAATTGTTTAAGATGTGTATGGGGTGGGTTTATTATACTGTCTGTATAGTTTGGCATGAATATCTATTTATTTTATTTTAAATTACATTTCTTTGAATAAAGACATTCCTAAGGGGAAAAATTAGTCTATTCTGCTCCTTTGCATGAAGGAAGAAAAAAAAATTAGTCCATCAGCAATATCCACACAATGAATTGGAATGTTAAAGCATTCCAGTATATCAAGCCATGGAAAAGATCCATGTCACCTAACTCCTATGCCATAATTTATCAATTCATTATGCTTCCTGTTTAACATATTTTCGCTCTGTTTAAATCTATTTTCAGCCTTAAATGAATGGCTCGAGTGTAATTGTCTGAACTTAAGTCCCAGCTCTAGCTATAATTTGGGTAACATTGAGCTAAAGAGCACTATTTTATAAATGAAAAAAAAAAAAAAGTACTTACAGAATTGTGAGGATTAAATGTATGGAAAGCCTTAGAACATTGTCCAGTACACAATAAAAGCTCAGTGATCATTTGTTTATTATTTATTACTCTCAAGATCTCATTTCTTTGTGTAAAGTATTGAATTATGGTGTTGGGAGTAACCACTAGAAATTATTTAGGCAGATGAATTTACAAGACTTCTATGACAGATGAATGACTGTTGTTTTTAAAGGCCCACAGCATCCCTCAGCGGTCTGTGTGTTTTACTTTGACAATAAAATAATTCCTCCTGCAGTGCATTGAATACCCGCCCTCCCCCAAACTCACTGAAGCTTAATCCCCACTATAACTGCTGAGGGTGGGAAAATCCTATTATGATAATTGAAAGATGGGACCTTGAAGAGGTGATTGTATTATAAGGCCTAGTTCTTGGGCATGGTTCTGAGGGCTTTAAAAGGAGAGCACATGGGC